TTCTAAAGAAATTCAAGTACACAGAGTAAAAAGAGAAAAATTCTCCTTTCCCTTCTCTCCTCCCAGCTCTGCCCAAGACTTACACAGGAATAGCAAATATTAGAAAATATTATTCCCTTTCTATGTACTTATAAAGGTATATTATAGAAACACAGCTTTCCTTAGTGGGAAAAATATTGTTTTTAACTTGCATTTTCCTTTAATGATATATTTTGAACAACTTTTTGAGTCTACCTCATTCTCTGATAAGAATTTCTATTAATTTATTCTGCGAGTCCTCTTCTCAGACATTTTGGACACTGACATTTTAAGAATGTCTCAGTTCGTTCCCGTTTCATTACTAACAGAATGATCACTACATGTAAATCTGGGGGTACACCTATGGAGTGAATTATAGAATGAAAGTGCTGAGTCAAAGAATATGAGTTAATATTTATTTTTAAGTGTTAATATTTATTTCCAAATTATAGCTCTAATGGCTGTGCAAAAGCAAAGAACCCATTTTTCCCATACACACGACCATTTAGTATTGGTTTTAGGAATTTTTTCCAACACCGTGAGTAAATTATTTTATCTTATTATTTTACACATACTGATTAACAATAGGATTGAACATCTTTCCATGTTGCTCATTTTAATTGACTTTTCATACTCATTTTACATTTTCTCAATTTCTTATTGATTTATAGATGCTTTTTATGTCGTATTGTTGTTAATTCATTTGTATCAAAAATTTCTTCTTCTAATCTGTTGAAACTCTACTGATACCTTATACATTTTTAATCACATATGTTTAAATATGGAAAAAAGTATTGACATTTCATAATCAGATTTTTTTTGGCTTTTGTGTTAATGTTTTTTCCATGCCTCAGTTATAAAGGTATTTCCTACACTTTTTTAGTACTTTTATGGTTTTAACATTAAATGAAGAATTTAAATCTATCCAGAAACATTTTAAAACTGCTTTAAATTTTTAAACTTTTTAAACTTAAAATTTTTTTAATATGAATTGACTTTTTATTTTATTTCATTTTTTTAAATTTTTTTGTTTATTTTTGATAGAGCGTGCACGAGAGCATGAGTGAGGGAGTGGCAGAGAGAGAGAGACAGAGAGACAGAATCCTAAACAGCCTTGGCACCGTAAGCACAGAGCCCATTGTGGTGCTGGAGCTCACAAACTGAACCAGAAAATCATGACCTGAGCCAAAATCAAGAGTTGAACGCTTAACTGACTGAGACACCTAGGCACTCTAAAACTTTGGAAGAATTCTTCGGATGTTTTTCTTCCTTTTTTTTTTTTTTTTTTTTTTTTTTTTTTTTTTGAGTAGTTGACACACAATATTACATCAGTTTCAGGTGTACAACATAGTGATTCAACTCAATTTGTTATGTTATGCTCACCACAAGTGTGGTTACCATCTACCACCATACATCGCTAGTACAATACCTTTCACTGTATTCCCTATGTTGTACCTTTTATTCCCATGACTTACTCATTCCATAACTGGAAGCCTGTGACTCCTGCTCCCCTTCACCATTTTGCCCATCACCCACCCCCTCTTGCCAACCATGTTTGTTCTTTGTATTTATTGGTCTGTTTTTGCTTTTTGTTCTTTTCTTAGATATTACATATTAGTGAAATCGTATGATATTTGTCTTCTCTGACTTACTTCACTTAGCATAATACTCTCTAGGTCCATCCATGTTGTCACAAATGTCAAGGGTGTATATATATATATATATATATATATATATA